GCATTTATGTATGTATGTATGTATGTATATGTGTTGTATGCGTGTGTACGTACGTAAGTGCGTATGCATGTATGTATAATAGATGTTACATAACTCTATCCTTTCTTGTTTAAATTTGACTTTGAAATACAATATCATTGCGATAATGGCCATTAATAAGATGAACTAAGATGACGACAATGATGATGATGATGAAAATGATGATGGTGATGTTTGTCGCGATTTAAACGATTGAAAAATCTGACGAGTGTTTTACTTAATTTTATTCCAGAAATCCGTGCCAGCTGTCGAACTTATTTAACAACAACAACAGTAATTCCTTCATCTCAAACAACAACAACAACAACAACAGTCATATTACATCGTCAACAACAACAACAACAGCATCAACAACTTTGAACTCCATCTTCAACAACAACAACAACAGCATCAACAACAACAACATCATTTTCCCAAGCAGCAGCAGCAGCAGCTGTAGCAACAGCAGCAACCGCAAACGAAAAAAACGAACTAGCATCGAGATAACGATTAAAGGGGCCCTAGAAGAGCACTTCACCCGCCAGTCAAAACCGTGTGCCGCCGAAATATCCCGCCTCGCTGACATACTCCAACTGGAAAAGGAAGTAGTTAGAGTTTGGTTCTGCAACAGACGACAGAAAGAAAAACGCATGAATGGCTCTGTACTAGGAGCTGAAGGTGTGGCAATAGTGGCAGCTACACCGGCTTCTATTTGCGGTAGTGGCAGTGGCGTTTGTGGTTGCGAGATGGTTGGCTGTAGTAGAGCTGGTAGCAGACGAGTCGGGCGTTTTTCTAGTGGCGGGTTTAAAAGTGAAGACGATGATGAAGACGATGTTGGCGACTGTGGTGAGGATAATGACGAGAACGATGACAAGAGAAGCGGAAATAGTTATAAAAGGGTCGCCTACTCTGGTGGGGGCGAACATTTTAGGAAAAATGGCGTCATACATGGAGGAATGGGTTATTTGAATGACGGATCAAACTTTTACCAGGATGGCCTTTGTAGCGATAATAATGACGTCAGCGATGGAATTACCGAGACATTTTCAACCTTCCAATCCTTCTACCCTCAGAACTATTACAAACACGAAGTTGATGTCAATATGATGTTTGATGACATCAACAATAATAGCATCAGCAAGAATGACAAAGTCGAAACCTCCAGCATTCTACCGCATTATTCTACGTTAAAGAGTGAAAAGATTGAGTTAATTGACAACAACAACATCAACAACAACATCAACAACAACAACATCAACAACATCAACAACAACATCAACAACAACATGTACACTCCTTACAACTACGATAATGACAGTAGCATAAGTAGCAGTAGTATTAGTAGTGGTAATAGCAACAACAACAACAACGACAACATCAATCAACTTTCACCAAAGAACATCAATTCAGATTTTAACAACAACGTTAACAATTTGACTAGCTATAACTATACTATTAATGATTTAGGGAACAACAACAACATCAACAACAACATCAACAACAACAAAGATAGAATACCGCCCATT